ACACCTATCAAGAGTATGTGAGCATCTATCCCGGGACACGGGCCTCTCATGTTTTTAAACATTTGTAGAGTACAGACCACTGTCACCGACTCTGTAATAAGAACTGCTTCACTACACTGGGCTAATTTCACATCAGTTGAATATAAAAGAAGCAATTCATTTGTTGTGGGAACAGCCTTCTTCAAATAAACAATTGTTTCACTTTAATATTACTCTCCCTATGTAGTTATTACCATATGAATATTGGTATTTAACAAATCTGCTTAGTTCATGAATATGCTTAGTAACCACACTAAATTTTCATAAATATGTTGTTAATGAGTAATGTACTGTTTGTCACTGACAATGAGAACTGGCTTTCTTGAAATATGTCTGTTTACAGTAACAAGGCTTTCAGGCCCGTAGCCAGGGGAGTTTTTAGGGGTTCGGGCGAACCCCCACCCTTTTCAGCGAACCCCCCTTTTTCCAGCGAACCCCCTTAGCCAGAAAACGATCCCCCGTTTCCAAAATAGTGCAATTTATTACAAAATGGGAGCATTTTTGGCACTGTTTATTTGTCGCTATCAATCGTAGTCCGATCATAGAAATCAAAACAAAGCTGCAGCCTGCTGAATGACGTAACCAGCAAGACTTCAAAATGAATATTAATGAGAGGTTTGTTGCCTAGGCTATTTGACCAATCGCGTGCTCCGTTTATTTACTTTGGCACGACGTCATCACAAAAGTTTGGGTGCTCGACATTTTTTTAATAAAAAAAAGTTTGTTTCACAATAAACATTTACGTTCTAAATCCTGTATTGGAAAAGTAGTCTTCTTATCTTATTTTCAAAATTGTGTAAGAAGTATAGTATTTACAGTAAATATACATGAACATGCATTTAAATGATATGTACATGCTTTTAAAATCGTATAAATGCTCTGGCTTCGGGGGCTTCGCCCTCGGCCCCAAGAAGCTTCGCCCCTTGACCCCACCGTGGCCCTTTGGCGGCCCCCTGGACCCCACGCCCAGAACCCCCCCACCCTTGAAGCATGCTGGCTACGGGCTTGGCTTTTGTCTCGCTCTTTTTTCTTACTATGGTAGATGTCAGGCCTGGTAGTGTGGGTTATTAGAAGTTAGGCCTGGTATAATGTAGGCTATTAGTAGAAAATAGGCCTGTTATAAGTTAAGATTTGAATAAAATGTTACTTACCATGGCTGCCAAATCATTGATATCTTTATTTTCCAATAATTTAACATTTTCTTGTTGGACTGTCTCCATCAACACCCGTTGATTTCTCCTGTGTGATATAAACATAGTATTGCTGTTTAGTAAAATATGATTGTACTGGTATTTGTATAAAAATATGATTTATTCTTCTGTATGAGTGAAAGCCAAAATTAATTACTCAATCAATTTACACTTTCGTTCATGCAAATTGCTCCTTTACAATATGCACTAATTCGTCGCTCACATCACGAACTAACACAATCAAAGTAGATTGTGTTAGTTCGTGAAATCACAGTAACGCGTCAAAACGAGCGCGTATTGGTTGTCAAACAATTTTGTATTCTTTACCACACAAAAAGTCCTTAACAACAATAGCGCGTATTTTGACGCGCTTTTTTGATTTCACGAACTAACACAATTGAATTTAATTGTGTTAGTTCGTGATGTGAGCGACGAATTTTTCAATAGTGCATGAAGAATTAAATGTTCATATTTCCTTTCTATACCCTTGTTTGTATGAATTTAATGACAAAATAAACGAAATGAAAATGAAAAGCATTTCTTAACAATAATAAATTCAATTATAACCTTTAGAGTATACTCTAGTTTTAATGCAACTAATTGTGCAGTATCATTCCATATAAAATAGGAATAAAAAAATATTTAAAAAGTTAAGCATATATATATCAAATTCAATCAAAAAAAATTTTTTTTAATAGCTTACGTTAACTCTTGGAATGAGTTGCTAAAAGAATCAATTTCTGGTTGAATTTTATGAAGTAAGCCTTCTGATAAACTGTCAATAACTTGGTCATCAATATTAAGAATATCCTCCTCCTCTTTTAAGAAATTATCTATAAAACAAGATGTAAAAAATATGTCAATATTAAAAAAATATTTTTTTTAAATAAAAATTACAATATACATACTTTTTTGGGTTTTTTTAAAATCATTATTTATTACAAGTAAACATTTCAATTAATTTACAGGCTGTGGTATGTGTTCAAGCACAATTTTTACATACTTTTGGGAAAAACTGAGACATGTCTCCCTCCAATTAGGACTATTTTAGGGACTGGGGTTTCTTTTCTATAGTCTTTAGCAGCTTTGGTTTCTAATTAGAATAATAAAGACAAAAGAAATTTGTTAATTTGGGACCACAGTCTTTAATTAATAGAGCGAGACCTGTTTTTAAAATTCAACTCTATTTAGTACCAGTGATAGAGATCTTCTGTAATGTTTCTGTTTCATTTTCTTCTGTATTACTATCCTTTGCATTTTGCTCCGTGATTTCTTTTGTATTTTCCTCTGTATTTTGTATGGTATTTTCCTTTGTAGTTTTAATAGAGGAATTTAAATCTTCTTCATTTCGCTCCATTACGACCTCATTTCTTGGTAAATATTCATTCGAAGGTTCTTCAGTATCTCCACTAAATCTTTCACTTCCTTCCATTTTACTGAATGAAATGAAATAATATATTTTTAAAAAAACAAAAAAAAACGAAATTCAATCAGAACAAAAAAGCCCAGGTCCAACCGGTCGGTTTAATGAAATTTTTGCTGGCCTCATAACTCAATTCAAGCAAGCTTGTTATACGGATCATAAACTAAAAAAAAAAAAAACATAGTTCTATCTTATAATAGGATTAGAAGTGAGCTTAGGGCTGCAATTTAAACATTTTCAGCAGAGCCATGGCTTCCTCTCATGCATAAGTCGAACTTGATTGTGCAGAGGAGTGATGATGGCATCCTGTTGTTGTGTGGGTGCATTTCTAACACTTGCAATCGTACATACAACCATAAACCCACTATTATCTGGCATTAATATGTACATTATTTAATGGATAAGCCTATGTACAACAAATATTTCAAAAATTTAAATAAAAACCTAGCCTTTACATGTTTTTAGCAGGCATAAAACTAAGCACTGCTTAGCCACTTACCTTCTGATTTTTTTCACACCATAGTGTATGTTAGGAATACATA